GCGGTCACTCGGGACCCCCGCCCCGAGCTGGTGCTGGCGGCGCACGGCAGCCCCGGGCGGGCGGCGGCGGCGCTGGGGGGGCGCTGGGGGGGCCCCGTGTCCCTGGCGGTTTTCGGGGAGCCCCGCGGGGGGCTGCAGCAGCTGCTGGCGGCGTTGGGGGGGCCCTGCCGGGCCCTGCGCGGCCGCCTCCGGCTGCAGGTGGTGCAGGGGGCGGCGGGACCCCCGCCCAATTTCATCCCACCCAGAGCACCCCAAAAAGCCGGGGGCGGGGGGTGCCGGGGGGCTCTGGCCAGGCTGGCGGCCGCCGACCCCCCCAGTTACACTCTGGGGGTGCCGTACCCCGGGAATCTGCTGAGGAACGTGGCCTGGCAGGGGGCGGCCGGGGGGGGCCCCGGCGCGGGACCCCCGCCCGAACTGGGGGCGCGTTTCGTGCTGCTGCTGGACGCGGACGTGGCGCCCAGCCCGGGGCTGCGCGAGGGGTTCCTGCAGCTGCTGCGGGACGGGGGGCTGGACCCCCGGAACTGGGGGGGGCAGGAGCCCCCAAACCGGGGGGGACAGGAGCCCCAAAACCGGGGGGGACAGGGGGGACAGGACCCCCGGAACTGGGGGGGACAGGAGCCCCGAAACCAGGGACAGGAACCCCAAAACCGGGGGGGACGGGACCCCTGGAACTGGGGGGGACAGGGGGAGATGGACCCCCAAAACCGGGGGAGACAGGAACCCCGAAATCAGGGGGGACAGGACCCCCGGAACTGGGGGGGACAGGGTGGACAGGACCCCCAAAATTGGGGGGGACAAGACCCCCAAAACCGGGGGACACAGGGGGCACCGGGGGACCCCAAAGTTCTGGGGTCTCAGAGGGATTTGGGGGCTCAGGAGGATTTGGGGGTCCCCAACACTCTGGGGGTCCCCAATGTCCTGGGGGTCCCCAACGTCCCAAAGAACCCCAAAAGTTTATTGGGCCCCAAGGACCTCAGGGGTGTCCAAGCCCTGAGTGACCCAAATGCTCTCAATGTCCCCAACGCCCTGAGTGACCCCAATGCCCTGAGTGACCCCAAAATCCTGAGTGACCCCAATGCTCTGAGTGACCCCAAAGTCCAGAGTGACCACAACACTCTGAATGTCCCCAACGCCCTGAGTGACCTCCAGGTCTTGAATGACCCCAAATCCTTGAGTGACCCCAAAGCCTTGAGTGACCCCCAGGCCCTGAATAACCCCAAAACCCTGAGTGACCCCAACGCTCTCAATGACCCCAAAACCCTGAGTGACCCCAATGCTCTGAGTGCCCCCAAAATCCAGAGTGCCCCCAAAACCCTGAGTGACCCAAACGCTCTCAATGACCCCAATGCCCCAAGTGACCCCAAAGTCCAGAGTGACCCCAATGCTCTGAGTGGTCCCAACACTCTAAATGTCCCCAAAATACAGAGTGACCCCAAAACCCTGAGTGACCCCAACGCCCTGAGTGACCCCAACGCTTTCAATGCCCCCAACACCCTGAGTGACCCCAAAACCTTGAGTGACCCCAAAACCCTGAGTGACCCCAACGCCCTGAGTGACCCCAACGCTTTCAATGCCCCCAACACCCTGAGTGACCCCAAAACCTTGAGTGACCCCAAAACCCTGAGTGACCCCAACGCCCTGAGTGACCCCAAGGGACAGGAGCCCCGAAACCAGGGACAGGAACCCCAAAACCGGGGGGGACGGGACCCCTGGAACTGGGGGGGACAGGGGGAGATGGACCCCCAAAACCGGGGGAGACAGGAACCCCGAAATCAGGGGGGACAGGACCCCCGGAACTGGGGGGGACAGGGCGGACAGGACCCCCAAAATTGGGGGGGACAAGACCCCCAAAACCGGGGGACACAGGGGGCACTGGGGGACCCCAAAGTTCTGGGGTCTCAGAGGGATTTGGGGGCTCAGGAGGATTTGGAGAGCCCCAACACTCTGGGGGTCCCCAATGTCCTGGGGGTCCCCAACGTCCCAAAGAACCCCAAAAGTTTATTGGGCCCCAAGGACCTCAGGGGTGTCCAAGCCCTGAGTGACCCAAATGCTCTCAATGTCCCCAACGCCCTGAGTGACCCCAATGCCCTGAGTGACCCCAAAATCCTGAGTGACCCCAATGCTCTGAGTGACCCCAAAGCCCTGAGTGACCCCAAAATCCTGAGTGACCCCAATGCTCTGAGTGACCCCAAAGCCCTGAGTGACCCCAATGCTCTGAGTGACCCCAAAGTCCAGAGTGACCACAACACTCTGAATGTCCCCAACGCCCTGAGTGACCTCCAGGTCTTGAATGACCCCAAATCCTTGAGTGACCCCAAAGCCTTGAGTGACCCCCAGGCCCTGAATAACCCCAAAACCCTGAGTGACCCCAACGCTCTCAATGACCCCAAAACCCTGAGTGACCCCAATGCTCTGAGTGCCCCCAAAATCCAGAGTGACCCCAAAACCCTGAGTGACCCAAACGCTCTCAATGACCCCAATGCCCCAAGTGACCCCAAAGTCCAGAGTGACCCCAATGCTCTGAGTGGTCCCAACACTCTAAATGTCCCCAAAATACAGAGTGACCCCAAAACCCTGAGTGACCCCAACGCCCTGAGTGACCCCAACGCTTTCAATGCCCCCAACACCCTGAGTGACCCCAAAACCTTGAGTGACCCCAAAACCCTGAGTGACCCCAACGCCCCGAGCGCCCCCCACGCCCCGCGCTCCCCCCTCTCCGCGGAGCCCCCCTGGGCGCGGGCTCTCTTCGTGCTGCCCGCCTTCGAGCTGCGGGGGTCCCGCGCCCCGCCGGCCTCCAAGGCGGAGCTGCTGCGGCTGTGGGCGGGGGGCGAGGCGCGCCCGTTCTACGGCGCGCTGTGCCCGCGCTGCCAGG